AATCTATCAGTCAGTCATGATTATCGACTCGGAAGTGCGAAAAGTATAACCCATCATTTATAAGTTCTAAAAAGACAGCCTTAGCATTTCTTTTCCTACTGTAACACATGATAACTGATGTTGCATCACAGTGATGTATGCAACTCGATAGTTCACCGAGTTTGATATCCCAGGCTCCATTGCACTTGATTTTGTTGATCAATATTCAAATAACAGATCAGGAGAGACTAAGATATATACTGGCAAAACAGGGAGGAAAAGCATCCAATTGTAATATAAAAAAGATTCTGCCTTTTTACAAAACCCAATTACAGCACAAAGCGATTGCAATAGAGGTGCAATTACAGTCACGGTGGTTTCCGAATAAGCAAATAAGCATATAATTCCCCTCACTGAAACCATCGGTACTTTGTGTATGTGAGGGACAAAGAAGGGGAGGAGCTAAAGAGCGAGACCATGTCAGCTAAAACAGCAGCCCATTCACGCCCCACAAAGCGCTAATAATGGTGCTGACTGGCGTGGGTTTGATGGCTGTTTGTCTTAATGATTGTTTTCGCTTTGCCAACAGCCCGCCCGGCCTTTGTAAGGTGGCGGACGAAAGTCTCTTAGTGAATGGAAGCTTCGAATCTGTCTTACCCTGTGCAAGAACTGTGTTATTAAGCGGGTGTTTAAAACGGAATTCCAAATATGTTTGACAAGAATTTTGACCGTAATCACCCAATACTTGTATCTTCGTAATGAGAGAAAAAAAAACGTTACCTCTAAAGCCCAGTTCGGAAAACAAATAGCAGTAATAACAGCAATCTCAGCCCATTACCACTACATATAGACCATAACAAACAAGTCACACCAACACAACGCCACGCCCACACTCAAAATGTAACGCCCACCAAGCAGTTCCTCTTCGCCCCACCTCAACCAGCCTGCGCCTGCCGCGAGTTCACTGAACGGCGAGTGGCGGTCAGTGTAGACAGTGTTAAAAGAGTAAACATGCGCTCCTCTGCATGGAACTTCCTCACTTGGAGCCGCGTTAATATAACAAAGGATTATCGATTCCTCAATTACTGCGAATTAACTGAAAATGGCTAATATGGGAATTATAATTACTTAAGGTATATTGGGTGATACTGACATGAAAATTATAATCACTGCAGGGTGTTTGCAAAGTGATTCAGCGCCCGGCCTCGAAAGGAGTGGGTCGCGGGCGGTCAAAGGCTCAGGAAAGGTGTGGCTTACCCTCGGCGCCGAGTCCCGCCCGCTCTGGCTGCGCTCTGGGATTCTCACTCGGGCGTTCTGTTGACTCATCGCCGCGAGATGGTATTTTGTGATCGATTTTGATCTGATATTGCACGTTCGATCAATTTTCATTCACATTATTTTCTTCGATAAGTATCAGACTGCCGTGAAACTGGAATTTATTAGCATCGTGACTGAGGGCGTAGAATAATCATAAGAAACAAGCATTGAAAAAAACAGCATACAAAAGCAAGTCATGAGAAAGTACAATGACGTTGCTTCTTTCCAAGACAGATACACAACGACGCTGATGCAGCTTCTTCTCTCCCATTTCCTCATTATTCCTGCATGTATTCACCCACTCCTTCGCCCCCCTTCTATCGCCAAATCTCATTAACATCCCAGCACACCACATCATCGTCTCCCCCGCCATCTCGCCGCACCTGTTGTGATTTTTAACCGCTTCCATCGCGGGTCCTGTCACCCGAACGGAAAACCCGCCATCCCGGCTCCCTCGTCCAGAACCGAGATGGCGTGTTGCGGTTCGAAAAAGGGGCATCTGGTTTTTGTCAACTTTTTTTTTTGTTTAAATCTCAGTGTAGGAAGAAAGGGAGATGGAAAAAAGTTCCCAGTAAGAAATAGTAATAACGCGTCTCGCTGGGATGTGATTAGAGTCAACAAAGAGTGAGTCTAAATGAAAAATAAAGAGGATACACTAGTATGACGAGGATGTGGATCAACTTAGGGGATTTTAATACAGTCAAATACTGCTTCGTTTTTTTTTTTCTAAAACTCATCACGTTCCAGATAAAAAAAAATAAAAGATCTATTCCAAATATGTCTCGGGATTTAAACTTACGATGATGCTTATCTATAACATAGCCATCGAAAATACATATCACAAGAATAATTATCATAACTATATTGTCAATTAACAGCACCTAGCATTTAAGTTATTAAGTCGTTAAATACCGACTTCGGACCTTTAAATCTTTGCATAAATTAACCGTCTCACGTACCTCCTTCCTCCCCACTGACCTACTGTGGCTAATAATCACCTCATTAAGCGGAAGAATCATCGAACCAAAGGATAATTAACTCTCAAGCGGCTCCATTGGTAAACCGCATTGAGTGTTTGTCATTAACAGATGACGAAGTACTAACATCATGCAAAGACTACGCGCGGAATCTGGGTCTACGAGCATAGTTAAAGTTTAAATATTTAACATGGAAAGATCAGTTATGGACTTATTAATTTACGCTCGTACTCCATCGACAAAAGAAAGCACTAGTTTATGGTTTTGAATAATACCAACTGGAAAAAAAAGAAAAAAAAAAAAATCAGCTAATATACATTTAAACGATATATTAGCTGAGTTACTTAGCATTCTGTATAATGACCAAAACGTCTTGTCTCGTATGAACCATCGCGGATTTTAGTTCTGTGCATCTGGCCAGGCAAACATACTCCGAGAGTGCACTTTTTAAGGCTTGTGCATTCATATCCTAGTGTTGATGTTTATATCTGTATTCATATTTGCATCCGATTATCATCAGATTCTCTCATACACATTAAAGGCACAGTGTGTTTAGGAAGGCCAACTTGCAAAAAAAAAATATATATATATATATATATATATATATATATATATATATATATATATATATATATATATATATATATATATATATATATACATACAGACATATTTATATACATACATAACACCTAAACCTTTTCACAACTCGACATCAAAGCTTCCTTCCACCACGAAAAGTAAAAGAGAAAGAGGCAAAAAAAAAAACATAAGGAAACACGAGAAACACGAAGCTTCGCCTGAGGTGAACAGACTACGAGGTTTTCCGTGCTGACACCCTAACGCTGTATCTGGAATCATGTAGCGGAAAGAGCTTTGGTAATGCCTATGCTCACGGGGGGGGGGGGGGGGAGCCCCCCTGTTACGCCACGCAACACCCCCTTACTTCCGTTAATCCCCCGTTTCTTCAAGGATCAAAATCCGAGGCTAAGGAATTGGAATCTCGTCCTTATGGGATGGGTGACAGGGGTCGGAAGTGTTCGAATGTTGTCATTTGTGGTCTTGTTGTTACTTTATTCGATAAAAAAAACTATTATTTGATGCATTGTGAGCGAGTTGGTTTTATGGTTATTTACAGCGGAATTATGTAGTCTTGTGATATTCCCAAGATGATTCATGCTGGGTAAGGAAGGGTTAAATAAGATTCAAAAGTAACAACCCGTTCCATCGAAATCGAACCGAGACATTCGACGCGTCTCACGGGCAGGTCGAAACAGGTCATTTCCGAGCCCTAACAAGTGGGTCGCAGGAAGTAGGACCTTAATAAGGAAGGTATTAAAGGAGGTGATGAGAGCGGAGGGGGGGGGAGGAAGAACCGGATCTTGAGACTCCTTAACAACAGGATGCACAGAGAGAGGAGGGGGAGGAGTGGAAAATGAGTGAAAGAGAGAAAAAGACGTGGTCCGAAGAAAGAGTTTCAATATCCTGCGTTATTCGACTCTAAATGGCCACAAAGTCTTGCAAATTTCTCGCGTCGCTGGGGCGGAACTGTCATGGAAGAAAATGACGCGCTGTCATTCTCCCTGTCCATCAAAATTACGGCTATTTCCTTCCTGCCTTTCTTCTGTCCTCCGTTTTCTTTCTTCTCTTCCTCTCCTTCCGACCGTTTAATGCTGACGCGGATTTTTTTTTTCTCTCTGGCAATTTTTTTGCGAAATAGGTTTACGCTTATGAAATGAAGGAGCTGTTGAGGTTAATTCTGACTAGAATAACAACGATTCGTATCTAAAACATTTACAAACGAGATTCTAATAGGCCTATGTGTTATGCAACAGAAGCAGCGGTGCAGTCTATTCGTCCAAGAAATGTCAACGAAGCAGCGGCAGCATGAGACGCGGTTGGCGGCGGCGGCGGCGGAGGCAATATTGGTAGCGGCGGCGGTAGCGGTATTGGTAGCGGCGGCCAAGCGTTCGGCGTAGCGGCGTCGCTCCTGAAAGAGGGGGAAGCAGAGGGGGGGGGGGGAGCGATGGGGAGATGGGAGGAGACGGAAGTGCACATGGACGACGCAGATGATGGCGCCCGAACCGCCACAATTTTCTCCTCCGCCCGCCGCGCCGAGGAAGCCGCGGAAGGAAGCCTAGCGCGGGAGAGCCGGAGGAGGAGGATCTTCAAGGTCGGCGAGTGAAGAAAAATTGTCCCTTCGCTGCCATTACACGCCGAGGCAGGAAACCACACACATATACGCACTCGTGAACACGCATGCAAGAACACACGGGGATGGGCAGGAAGCTCGCACAAAGGAAAGGGGAGAGGAAGGCGGAGGAAGAGGGGAGGGAAGAAAGAGGAAGGAGGGAGCGGGGAGAGGAAGAGGGATTAAGAGGAAGGAGGCAGAGCGTGTGTGTGTGTGTGTGTGTGTGTGTGTGTGTGTGTGTGTGTGTGTGTGTGTGTGTGTGTGTGTGTGTGTGTGTGTGTGTGTGTGTGTGTGTGTGTGTGTGTGAGTGTGTGAGTGTGAGTGTGAATGTGCGTGTGAGTGTGTCTGTGTGTGAGTGCGAGTGTAAGTGTGAGTGCGAGTGTGAGTGTGTGTGTGAGTGTGTGTGTGAGTGCGAGTGCGAGTGCGAGTGTGAGTGTGTGTGTGAGTGTCAGTGTCAGTGTGTGTGAGTGTGAGAGTGTGAGAGTGTGTGAATGCGAATGGCTTATCCGAAAATAAACGCAACCGTCCCAACTCACTTCCTCGAATTGGAGCAGATGGAGCGCCACTTGTCCTTGTAGTACATCTGGAGCCTCCCCTGCAGCGGCGTGGGCCCGTCGACCAGCCTGAGGCCCGTCTCCCTCAGAGGACCGGCCGGAGGCTGGCTGCTGGTCAGCTTAATCCTATTCGTCGGGGTGCCCTGGGAACGACAGAGAAAACGCGTTAAAAACAAAACAAAGGAAATGAGAAAGGGAAGAATAGCTTCAAAATGAAAGAAAAAATGTTTGTTATGAAATATCCGTGAAGTTCAAATGTTGAGTTCCTGACAAAGGTTATTGTGACATATAGGAAAAGGAATGTATAAGAACGAGATTTCCATAATGTGAAGCATGTATTTACATTTTCTGTTATGTATGTTCATCAGATTTAATACCATGGATTGCGACATTATATAAACATACAACCTCACTCATATTTTTACAACCTAAGAAGGAGAATTAACCTAAATATGAAATCTATTTCTCAAGACCAACGGCCATTTTCTTTCTAATATTTCTCTCTCTTTGACGATGCAAACAGCCAAATCATAACGTAACATATTAAAAAAAAAAAGGCAAAACAAGAAACACTTAAAGGCATATAACGAGGATCTTAAAAGTCACGGATTATTAAAACATTACGCAAGAATGAAGAAAAACGTTGGAAGAGGAGAGTGACAGAAAATGGGTTGAGGCCAAAGAGAGCGAAGGGCAGAGAGGCAAATAGGAGGTAAGCGAAAGTGGATGGAAAAGAAGGCAAAGTGAAAGACGGAAAGATAAGATAAAGGGGGGAGAGTAAGAAAGGACGAAAGAGAGAGAGAGAAGAAAAATGATAGGGTGAGTGTAAGCGCGCGAGCGCACGCGTGTGTGACAGACAGACAGAGAGTGAGAGCAAGAGACAGAGAAACGAACAGTATTAGAGAAGAGCAAACAGAGAGGAGAAAGGAAAAAAGGCGTGAAAAGAAAATGAGAAAGAGAAAGATATCGAGACAGAAAAAGAGAGAGGGGGAGAGAATGACAAAGAAAAGGAAGCGGTGAAACGAGAAATAAAAGGAAGACGATAAGAGAAGGAGGGTTGATTTTTGATTTGGCAATAAAAAAACACTCAAGAAACAGGAACTAAGAGAAAGATAGCGAAGAGAAAACGAAATACGAGGACGAAATGCGAAGCGAAGAAGGAAGGGAGAAGATGAGAAGGGGATCAGTGATAAACAAGGGGAAAGGAAAGCGAATATGGGCGAAGAAAGAAGGTCAGAATAAGGTGAGTAACATGAGAAGCGAAGAATTAAGATAAGTAGATGAAATAGATAAGTAAATAAATCATAAAACATATAACAGACATATTAACTAATGACATGGGGCAAAAACAAAAAAAATGAGAGATAAGATAAAAGACTACCAAACGCATATTAACAATGATAATGATAATAATAGTAATAATAATAATAATAATAATAATAATAATAATAATAATAATAATAATAATAATAATAATAATAAAAACAATAACAGCAACAGCAACAACAACAACAACAACAACAACAGCAACAACAATGATAACAATAATGATAATTTCCATCATCACCATAATCGTAAAATGATAAATAAATAACTGAATAAAATGAAAAATACCAGAAAACGGATAACAAAGGAAAACGTTTTTTTCAGATTCCGCGAACACGAGACGGAAAAACAACACAGAAAAACAAGGACAAACACCCTCCCCCGCCCACGTTCCCAGGACCAAGCTGACCTCGGGGCTGAACGTAAGCCGCCGCTGACCCAGCATAACCCGACAGAATCTGATTGTCCACGCTTGAGACGAATTAAAAAAAAGATAAATTCCCATATCTCTCCCATTCCCACGTACCTAAGACTAGCGATTCCTATTCCTGAGTTAAAAAGTGGGAACATTTATAGCGATTAAACCCTACATTAATCCGATCATCAAAAGAAAAGACTTCATTTATAATACTACTACTGTTGTACGTATTCGCACTCTGCTTTGGTGAATATACTCGGGGTGCGTATAAGGACATTAGACTACCCCAACGAAGGCCCACAACGTCGCTTAATATCGAACCGCGCGGGGCTTCACGCTGCGGAGTCGAGGGTGACGCGAGGGTCAGGACTTCGAGGACGTTTGGAAGAGGCGCGCTTGCCGTGGCGTCGGAAGGGGGGTCGCCTGCCCACCCTGCGGCTGCCTTGCGGGGGATTAAGGGGAATTATGCAGGGAAGGTGATATTGGATCCGCCATTGATCCGGCGGGGGTGGACAACCATCACGCACACAAGGAAACAAAAACAAATACGTGCGAGAGAGAGAGAGACACATTGATAAATAGATAGATACAAAGATAGAGAGAGAGAGAGAGAGAGAGAGAGAGAGAGAGAGAGAGAGAGAGAGAGAGAGAGAGAGAGAGGAGAGAGAGAGAGAGAGAGAGAGAGAGAGAGAGAGAGAGAGAGAAAGAAAGGGAGGGAGGGAATTAGACTGAAAGAAAGACATATCAAAACACTGCATTAGAACAAGAAAGAGATGTCTGCGCAGTCAACCCACACAGGTATATAAAATATGTAAGTGTATTCATGAAAATAATAATAAAAAGCAACATTAAAGAACGCAAACAGTAAAAAGACAATTGAACCTTCGAATCCAGGCCCCTGCTATCTCATGACTCACACGGACAACCGACATGCCAGACATAAGCCATTCCCACACCGCCCTTCCGGCTCTCCTCCGAACTATGTGGAGAGAGGAGAGGGAAGGAGCAGGGACAATGATGAGGTGAGAAGAGGAGAAGAGGAAAATGAAAGATAAAAGAGAGGGAAGAAGCAGGGACAGAGGAAAAGGAGTAGGGGTGAGAGAAGGGAAGAAGTGAAAATAAGAGACTAGACGAGAAGGAAGGGAAGGGGAAAGGAAAGGGAGTAGGGTAAGAGAAGGGATGAAGAGAAAATGAAAGGCTAGACTAGAAAGGGGAGCAAAGAGACGGAAAAGAGGAGGGAAGCGAAGCAAGAAGGAGGAATGTATTTTCATATTATCATGAATATCATTACATGTATTATCATTTTCTGATAAATCCGTTGTTATCACACGCATTATCACCGTTGCTGTCACCATCATCAGTATTGTTTTTATTACAAAAAACATTAATAGTAATGGTATCAGAAAAATGAATTAGTAACATTATTATCATTATCATATCTATCACTGTCGTCTGTCCTTGTTACCATTACAATCATCATAAAAATTGTTATATTATTTTCATTTTTGCAACTGCCATTAATGTCTCTTTCACCATGATCATTGCGTCGGATTTCGTTTGCTCTTGGTAACCAGAGCACTGGTAACACTTCTCCCAATCTCCCTTATCTCTTATCACATGACGAGACAAAAATTCTTTATCACTAAACATACCATTAAGCTGAATATCCAAACTCATTTCCTCTATAAATCCGCCTTATTGTCTTTTACTCCAGTATCATTATCGGTGTTATCAGTAAGACCCGGACATGGATGGCGAGGTGGACAGCGGCGTCAACAGAACGAATGAATTCAAAATATATTTACCATAATTCCGTATCATCCAGTTGTATATTCAATGTTGTTCCATTGTTGAAGCAGATGAAAAAGAAGAAAAAACAGAGAGACGATATATATGTATACACATATATATGTGTATATATATGTACATATATATATATGAATATATATATATATATATATATATATATATATATATATATATATATATATATAATATATATATAATCTGCATCTATAGCAATTGGGTTTCTAATATATTCACATCAACCCTATGAATGAAAGCCACATCATACAAAGCCACACCCCAAAGCCACAGCGGAGCAGTAAATAGCAGGTGTCTCCGCGCCAGCCGTCACTCGTGTCCAGGTAAGTCTCCGGGCCTAAGTATTCATAATAACGAGCAACCAAGGCTATTCCTCTCCTCCCCTTCCGGCCAGGACTCGCGCAGGTAGGCCTAGGTTCCGGTCCGGACGCGAGAGTGCAGAGGCTCCCTCCGCACCCCCGCCCACCAACCCGCACCCCCCCACCACCCCCCCCCCTTGTTCCGCATATCCCCCGATAAGCGGCACCATGTTGTTCGCGCAATAACGGCAGCGTCGTAATCCCTGCCTCGGTTTCACGTTGCGGAGGCGCTGCGTTGCGCTTTATCTTTGTGAAGCAACGCATGACCCTGTAACCGGTCTGTCGGGACGTGGTCGGGCGGCGTCGGGCGGCGTCGGGCGCGCTGGGCTTACGCTATGGGCGCTGCGGCCGCCTGCCTAACAGGGCGAGCGTCTGAGGGTAAATATATAATGCATATCTATCTACTTAACATTTAATTTGTTCATCCGTCTACTTATCTATCTATCTGCTTCGATTTATCTATGTCTCTACTTTGATTTATCTATCTATGAATAAATCTACATAGCTATTTACCTATCTATCTATCACTGTATCTATCTATATGCACAAACAAATACACACACAAACACATACACACACACACACATATATATGTATATATATATACATATATATATACATATATATATATATATATATATATATATATATATAATATATTAATATATATATATATATATATATATATATATATATATATATATATATATATATATATATACATATATATATATATATATATATATATATATATATATATATATATATATATATATATATATATATATATAATAATATATATAATATATATATATATATATATATATATATATATATATATATATATATATATATATATATTATATATATATATATATATATATATATATATATATATATACATATATATAATATATATATATATATATATTATATATATATATATATATATATATATATATATATATATATATATATATATATATGTACTATATATATGTATATATATATATATATATATATATATATATATATATATATATATATGTGTATATATATATATTGTATATATTATATATATATATATATATATATATATAATATATATATATATATGTATATATATATGTGTGTGTGTGTGTGTGTGTGTGTGTGTGTGTGTGTGTGTGTGTGTGTGTGTGTGTGTGTGTGTGTGTGTGTGTGTGTGTGTGCGTGC